CTTCGCCCTGCAACCGGAAATGCTCTTCATACTCACGAGCATAGGTCCTTAGTTCTTCTGTTCCTTTCGATCCACCAATTACATGAGGGATCATTTGAGAGGGCAGAGGATCTCCTTCTCCTAGGCGGTAGAAGATCCCGAAACGTAGAAGCTCTTGAGCATCTACTTTACCACCGAGCTCATCGCGCAAGATGGCCTCCTTCTTGTCGATGAATGCGTCGACTGTTTCTTCCGGTTGCTTCACCGAGTCTACCAAAGACTCCATGCTGCTCATGCGTGCGTGTTCTGTTGCCTCGGTGCAACGCTTATGCAGTTTCTTCAACTTTGCCATAAACGTGCGGCTTTCGCCTGGGTTAGTGGTCGTAACAGCTTGCAGCTGTTTACCTTTGACGGCACCTGGAAGACCCATTGCGAGTCTGCGTAAGGTGTTGCTTTCGTTTAAGCTCCACTCTACTTCTGTACCGGCCAGATCCTCCTGAATCTTGGTCGAAAGGGTGTCCGGACCGTGGGCGTCCGCCACCGTTAACACATGCTCCAACCAAGCATGCCATTCTTCCTTCTGCGTAATCTCGGGCAGAACAATTGGCCTAGGGGGCGCCATTGTTTCGGTACTTGGTGGGGCTGGCGGCTCTCCTCCACCTGTTTCGTCTCCTGCCATACTTCAGACTGTTGAACGAATGCGAAAATTTTAGCTGCCTAGTACTGCTATCCTCCTACTGCAAACATACAAAGGCGAAAAGGATGGTAATAGAATGCTAGCAATGTCCACCGACTGAATACCGACCAAACATTTACACCACTAGAATGAACACACTGGAAACCACTACCACACGCATGAAAGTCAGGGAAATTACTCGGGTCACTATTACCAGCCTGCGGGTGAGAAAGTTGACATGATTACCACTAGGATACGCATGAAGATGGTGACTACTCCTAGGATGATGATGATGATGATGATGAAACTACTCGGGGAACCTTGGAACCTGGGAACCGTTGGGACCTTGGTGCGGTTTGTCATTCTGGTGGGGATCTTCATACCATGGGAGGAACATACGAAGGACCAGGAACATAGGCGGGAACGACTGAAATCAGAACCAGCAACATAGGGATTCGGGTGGATCCTTATGGTGATTCGTCACAAACTGGATCAATGCCTTGGTTGATCTTGATCTTGCCTACAGTCTTAGTGACTGTAGCTGGTCGTGGGGAATATTTTTGTACAGAAGATTATGGCATGATCATAACGAGCGACTGTAGCTTTTTGCAGAAAAGTATGATCGCATCCAGTTTCATTCTTTTCTTGACGCAACAGTATTAAAACCGAAATGTACCGTTTTCAACACAACATACCATGCATAGAGTAGACATTTCTTCATATTAGGGTTTTTTCGATTCGTTGATGTATAAATGTTCCACAGCTAGTGATAGAAGCACATCCCTGAAAAGCATTTTGTTTTCGCGTTTTGCTCCGCATCTCAGACACTTTTTTATGATTATGATTACACTTGGCTCCAAACGCGGTCCGGAGTAGGCCACGCATTCCTCGTTGGAGGAAGAAAACACCATATTTGAAAATCTGATTATTTCATCTTGGCTAGTAGTAGTACAATTCTTGGACAATCTTCGTATATGTATGGTTATGGTCGTATAACTGGCGAAGCAATTCTTTGGATATTTTTCCTGGCTATTTTACGTGAAGAGTGGAGCGATCGCGATAAGAAAAGACAACTCCTCGAAGAAAGAGAAGATGTGGACACTATCCTGCAAGCGCAACTGTCATCAGCGAAAGATGTCGTCGCATCGTGCCTCTTCTGCCCTGTTCGTCGAGCTGCCTCCGAACGGTATCGACATAAGATTGTCTTCAATCTGTCTCTCAGTCTCTGACTAGTCGCATTCTTGATCTTCGATATCCGCAAACGAGATCGCCAACACAAAGGAAACAGACGCGTCGTCATCGTTTTGTTCTCTGTCTCGCTTGTCTGAAAGAAAATTGCCTACGTTTCATTCGTCAATGATGTAGCGGCTCTATTATCATAGACATACTAGAGGCTCCTCTTCTACACCTATGATTATCCCGACGAGCCCCGTCCCCTCTCGTCGTTTTGTTGCGTATGTAGAGTGCCAAGTGGTGGTGTATTTTGGCACTGATACTCATATCGACATTCAATCACAGAGTTTGACATTTTCTGCACATAATTGTAGGAAGAGACCCGGGGAGTAGAGAAATATCCCTGACCCCCCGTGGTCCGTCAATTTAAAAAAAGCTTCCGTTACCGCTCTTCTAATATAATCAATCCTTTGAAAGCGATTACGCCAGTCAAGGCATTTAACCTTGACAATGCAGTAACAACAACCACACCATTATTTGAGAACGATCAACAAAATGGGGTACATTTTCCCGCTCTTGACGAGTGACGAGATCGTCCAAGTCCTCAAGAACTCAGCGAAATTTCCCGACGTCTCAATTGACGTCCTCCAGAAACCGCAGAATTACGTCACGATCGCTGTCTCCGAGCACTACTACAACTGCGAGCACAATGGGGTCGTGGTTGGTAAAGGAGGAGCGTCTTCAAGCACCTCCACCATGGGGGGGCTAGGCGGCGTCGGTGCTGGACATAGTAACCTTCCTGGTGGATTACCCATCGCTGGGAGTAGTGTGATGGACATCTACATCGCCTTTTGGGAGTTTTTAACTGGGACAAACGATATCCGTCGCATCCCCTGGCACGATCTGCTCGTGAACGAGAATGGCACTCAGTTCCCAACCCTGTACGAAGAAGCTGCCCGATTTCTTTGCGTTTTTCGGACGTTGCAGCACTTAATGCAGCTGTCTGGAATAAGCGACTTTTCCATGGCGGATTTGCTGAAGGTAGAATGCAACTTCGTACCTGCAGAAGATCAATGATCGTTATTTTGCGTAAGTACATGCATCTTCTTAGCAACATTAACACCTCTCCTGTGCTGATTCTTACGTCAGAGTTCTAGTAGCGGTATGTTCATTTATTCTTGGCGCGCATCCAGCTGTCACGAGCTGCACTTTTGGACCTCCCTAGTTTTGAAGAAATTCGAGTGGAACATATTTTCACATTTCATTTTCAATGACACCACTACTTCCGACTACTTGTTTTTAAAATTACCAATAGTTGTGGCTTTCAGTGACACCACCACAGCCCGAAGCAAAGCGTTTACGGCGGAATTTGAGTGCGTTGATTAATTTCTGTCGATTTCGTGAGGATGAGTCCCAGTCGGAGCATGAGCAGCAACGCATTGTTGCAGACCTGGAGCTGAAGATCTCCAGTGCAAGCGAATCAATGCGTGGACTGAGGTCAAATGTTGAACATTATGGTATGGCAGCCTTAGGGCGTTACTTTAGCAACACGTAAGAGAACATAATTTTTTTTAGAGCAGTACTAGAATCCAACCAGCATGCAGCATCTATACCGCTTTATCGTTATAGATTGTAGTAGGATCGGGATTGACAGCAGGCTGCTATGAGCCCTAAGCTGAGGAAACGCCAGGCTGTCCGCAATAGGAACAGGTTGGGATGCTTTTTGATACAAATATAGTCGTACTAGTAGAGCGTCGTTATTTCAGAGTCGGTAATCGCTGTTGCAGATGATCTTGCACTTCTTGCAGTTGCACCTTGTAGTTGCGGATTCTGAAGTGATGAATCTTCATTGCATGCCTCATGTTTTCTCCGGCATATAATGAACAAAGTAAGTATTCACTGTAGAAGTTGGTAAGACGACTGCTCATCCAGCCTCTCTAACCTCAACAAGAAGCCGAGTTAGCAAACGAACGAGCCGCTGTCGAACGCCTGACCACAGAGGAGAGGAGTATAAAAGACGAGATGAATCGATTGAGCATTTTTCAGATTGAACAAGGTATAGACGACGCGAAACGCGAAATCACCGAAACCAAAGATAAAATAGAACAAGCGGAAGGAGAAAGCAGGATGCTGGGGGATAGCTTATGAAGAGAGACTGTTACAGAAGACAGATTAGTTTCGGCAGAAGCATATGAACTATAGAACAAGGGTTCCTTGTCAGAGAGAAATGCTCTGATGTGACGCGCTTGTCTGAGCTTTATTCTTCTGAGCTTTATTCTTACCACCTACAAGATGAAGTTGCAAACACTACTCGTGCTAGTAGAACTAGAGCTTCAACGTCATTATACTGCAAAGTAAGTCAGTCGTTCTTCTCGTTCACGCCGTCCCTTGCTTCCTCATCCACAGCTCCCCCCTCTCCCCTCCTTCATACATTATCTCTTCTCTGCGGCGTGGTGTCATCTCGGATATGGATCCAGCCAAATTGGTGCAGGAAGTCTAAAATCTGCGTGTCGCAGTGCGAAGTAAGGAGGAACGCATAGCCACTCTCGAGAAGCATTGCGAATTTTTGACCGAAGAAGCCTCCAAAGCAGACCGTGCGACACAGAGGTGTAATTTTTATGAGGAAAATCGAACCGCTTGAAGAGCTTATTTTCATTAGCAACACTTTCACATCGTCTCGTATAAGTTGTACCCTTATTGCATCGCGCTCTCAGAACGCCAGTGAATAAGAAGAGATAGCTGCCTTCGCAGCTCCCACGATGATCTAATACCCATTTCTGGATCGCAATCGAGAGTGCCAGAAATTGGTGGAGCAGGGAAATACCCAAGAGCTCGCGCTCAAGGACCTAGAGGCAGAACTGGAAGAGGGAAGAGCCGACTTTCATGCATCTGAAAGGGAAGAGAGAACGCAACAAGATCGCTTGGTTACGCTGGCAGCGCAAATAGAACAAGTACATGCTGCTTTATCCTTTTCCTTTTGGTTTTGTTGATCGATGAAGATTCTTTATTCGCTTTGTGAAGAGTTCTTGAATCTGAAGTCTCTCGTTCCGTTTCTCGTCCATAATGATCTTATGTGTTGGTACTAGTATAACGTCGAAGACGAACTAAGAACACTGCTAAATCTTGCATGCATTCTCAGGTCTCCATCCAGAAGCAACAAGATCGAGAAAGAATGGTCGAGGAAATTACAATGGTAGGCGACGAGATTCATGAAGCCTCGCGAGCACTAGATGAAGAACAAGCATTGTTATGTCTGGTCGTGTGGTCACAGTTTTTCTATTTTTCGATACTTACTTACCAGTGTTAGTCTTAGTAATTATAGAAATAGTATCGATCTCTACCTGTAGCTCCTGGTGCCTGTCGCTCTAGCCGTAATATAAACAACCCAGAAGCTGTTGAATGAGCACGCAATCTTGTATCTGTTGCGGCAAGAAGGAGAAATACAATCGCTTTCGCTACAGAATATGAAAAAGTGGAGACCCTTTGATATAGTACATCAGCTTCCGGCTCTGTGCTTGCTCTTTGATGGCCCTGCAGTACTTGTCCATCGTCGTGAGCTCTGTACTTGCTCTTTGGCCCTGCAGTACTTGTCCATCGTCCGACGTGATCTACTTGCTCATCGATGAACTCCAACTAAGTACTTGCTCATCATGCTCATGATGTTGCAACTACATCTAGAACTAGATCTTCTAGTTCTACATCTTCTGCTTCTTCTACCTCTCTCTTGTACTAACTAGTTTGTTCAGTGTCATAGTCTAACCCCAGCACGCAAGAACTCAGCTGTGAACGAGATTGCGGAAGCGGCAGATGCACTGCAAGCCGCTGTGGATCAAGCGCGGGTTAAGTGGAGCAGCATGAACGAGAAACTGGATTTTGCCCTAAGAAAGTACGAAGATGAAATCGAATCACATATGAGGATAGACTGAAGATGAAGCTGTGATCTTGATGATGGACGAAGATGAAAAAATTGATCATGATTGTTCACATGCTTGCGTATATTGATAGAGGACTTCTGATAGTAGAAGGGTAGACTTCGCCACCCTGCTTTATCTACTGGTCGACGAAGATTAGCAACAGCTACAACAACAGCTACAACAACAAGGGGCGAAGGTGCCGACCCTGCGATCTTGATGGACGAAGATGAAATCGAATGACAATGATCCTCTAGGGGAAAAGATCTTCATTGAAGACAATTATCCTCTAGGGGAAAAGATCATCGATTGTTCTTGCGTTTTCTTTATCAACGACGATCATGGCGATCTGGATGAGCAAAGAGAAGAGAAACAAGGGAACTTCCTGATGGAGTGGAAAATGGAGTAGGTGTAGGAGGGCCATGTTGAAGGCATGAACTTTAGAAACTACGAGGAAACCTGAAGAGAAGCAAGAGTCTTAGAGAAAAGTCGTGGAGAAAAAGGTGGACGCCGACATGAGGAAGAGACAGAGAAGGAGAACAAAAACGGTACTCCAGGATGAGAAGAGTGAGCGATGCTTTTTGCTTTAAAGAGATACAACTTACTCTGAAAATAAACCCGCTACTGCTGAAATAAACTCGCTACGAAATCTTACATTTAGTCTAACTACTAAGGTTGCTCATATAACCCCGCGGTAGAAAACGGGGATCTACACGACCGTCTTTGATCTCTTGAATCTCAGAGAAGAAGAGTCATGACAGACGCGCTCGGTTCTGAAGTGAGGGTTATGAACACTTCTACCAGCACCGTTTGCGGCGAAGCCAAGGACGTCATGCCGGAACATGAACATCATAATCCTCAGACGGAGGAAGGACGACAAGAAGTACCTATATATGTACCAGGGAGGGAGGCCCCCCCCCTGTGGATGGATCTGGGGTGGACCACGCCAGAGGGGTCCAGCCTGGCCACCTTTGCGCGGTCTGTATGGTTGGCCACATGCAGCACGCCAAGGGGGTGGGCCCTGCCTTTGCCCCCTTTGCCAGGTCTGTAGGGCACATGCAACAAGGCAGCGGGGCCCTGCCTTTGCCACCTTTGCCAGGTCTGTAGGGTACATGCAACAAGCCAGCGGGGCCCTGCCTTTGCCTTTGCCAGGTCTGTAGGGTACATGCAACAAGGCAGCGGGGCCCTGCCTTTGCC